ACCACTTGTTTCATTTTTGGATTCTTCGTCTTCCTCATCCTGCAGCCCTGAAAGCTTTCGTTTCCTTGCAGCACGTGCTAGTGCCCTCCCTCTTTTGCTGTTGGCCTTTGGTTTCGCGGCTCGCGCTGCGGGAATAGGAGGGTCGGTTCGACGATATAGTCTATTGTCGTCCAGCACGTAGTAAAGTCGCTCGTCGCGATCATATCCAATTTCATCCACGCGCTGTTATTTTCAAAACCCAATCAGTCTTCACTCAGAACCTGCAGCCTGTTTCACGGGCGAGGGAGTGGGGGAACCAGGATCTTTGTACATACCCATTGAACCTGCTCCATTTCCTTCTGCTCCGGCATCCGTTCGCGCATGCGATCTGGATTCCAAAAGGTCCATACCGATAATTGCTGCAAGATACGTATCCGCTGGAAAATATCTAGATCATTAAACTTTATCGGCTGTTCCGCGTCACCGAACGGGTTCCGGGAGGGTGCTTTCGCTAGGTACTGCCTCCTCGTATACTCTTCGAAGTTTTCCAATCTGTAGTCCCGGGAATAGCAAAGAAAAGTTAGTTAGTTTCGGTCTGTGCGAAGCGGAGAGGGGAGGGGCGAGAATTCCATACGTGAGTCCGCGATGGGACGAGACAAATTTCAGCAGAGCTAGGCCGATATCGAGAAGTTTCGCTGAAGGCCCAGGCTTGAGACACTCGTTTTCCAGTCCCTAAAGCGATATAAGAAGATAAAACATGTCAGCAAAAGTGTCCTCCTTGCCAATAACAACCTAGGGATTATAGAGCGCGAGGTAGAAATAAGGAATCTAAAAGGACCGTAATTATCGATAGTTGAAAACGAAGTAGAGAGAATGTAGTCACGCACATCTATATCAATGTCATCCGTAATCTTCACCACCCTCCCAAAGGTGTAAATATACTGCATGAGATTCGAGAACTCCCACATGTTGCGCAGTTGGTGAAGCAGGCCAGGTTCCTGCCCATCTTGCAACGACGAAGACGGCAGCCGCTCGCTCCTTTTAGCGTCAACGCGGGTACTTTGCTGCTCCTCCGCCTCCTCCCTGGCACGTTTTCGCGAGACCATTGCAGGAATTTGCAGTGGCAAACGACTGATGAGATGGTTTGACGCGAAATGCCGATCTTGTTTCGTCCTTATATGGGGGGGGAAGAGAGGACGGCGCGGATCGATAGGCTAGGGGGAGGGAGTATATAGTGGTCGATAACTGGCGCGGCGGGCAGGGTAGCTAATGGATCAACTAAATAAAGCAAAGGGACAAAAGAAAGATGAAACACAAGCAACTTTTTGCCTTCCTTTGCCAGCTCTGTTTTTTGTCTATGGACCGTAGAAATGTTGGTTAAGGAATTGTATGGAAGAGAAGACTATGTATAATAGAAGCTATGGGAAATACAAGAAACACGGAAAGACCCAAAAGTTGGGATGGGGATAGGCGAGATGCGGCCTCGGAGCTTTTTTCGTATTTTTTTGATGTCGAGAGGCGTCTGGGGCATGCTTAGTCATATCTGAGGTCAGCAGCATGTAGTTAACTAGTTATCCGCTGTGGAATTAATTTATATATTTTTAAATCACATCAACAAGCATCAAACGCTCGCTTACGCTCGCTTTGCTGCTTGCGCAGCCCCCCCTACCACTTCCACCCTCCCCCCCGACCCCCCCCTTACCACCCCTACCACCCCTTCCACCCCTCACTCCCTCTATCACCCCTACCACCCTCTTCCACCCTGTATCACCTCTATCGCCATTATCAGATTAATCAGAGCTGTACAGGCTGCAGAGCCGGCTGTTCAATCCCATCCATGAATTCAAAGAGATGCACATGACATCACATGAGATGTTACAGAGCATTTACACAGTGTAGCAGTACATGCCATGAACACAGAGATCAAAAATGAACATAGAGAAGAGTATAAGGAATGTAAATACTGAGAATGTATGAAAAGAGCAGAATGAAAAAAAGAATGAAGATTTGAAGATTGATCTGAGCTGTATGAGCTGGAGAGCAACATTCAAATATTTTTGATGAGGTGCATGTGATGTCTTATTACAGCGTTTTTTGCATGGGAAAAGTTGGTTTTTCTATAGTTAATAAATAGAGAGATAGTTTGAAAATTTTTCAATATTAAAAACAGTGAAACACAATTTGTTTATAAATGATTTTAAAGCATGATTAAAGTAGTTAATAAATTTTATTATTAAGTTAAATCAGATTATTCTTTTTTTCAACTCAGTTAAAATATATTGCATTCACTTATTTATATCTATTTACAAAAATGTCTCATCTCTCATCGAAAACTAATAAAAAATCTCACTTAAATAAAAATCAAAATAAAATCAGAAAGAAAAGAAAAATAAAAGAAAATAGAATAGCATGCTTCTGCAGTTTTCCCTTGTAAAAACAATGTTACTTTTTCCCCACCGCTCTCTCATTTTGCTCCTTGTGTGTTTTGCTTCCCTCACTGTTTCGCCCTGTTGCTGCTGTTGTTGTTTATATCCCATCCGCCTTGGCCCTGTTATGCATAATCTACGCCGAGATGTAAATGAATCAACTCCCTCTCACTCTCGGTTTTTCTTTAGGTGTCTGTTGTGGGCTACCTAATTACCACTTCGAATCCCTCTCCAATCTTTTCCGTTTTTGGCCCCCTTCGTCTGTCTTTCTCGTTCCGCAGGTAAGTATTATCAGATCAGGAGTTATGTATCGTTCACTACCATCAGCGGCGGAAATGAAACGGCACAAAAAAAAAGTTAGAATATAAAAAGAAAAGAATATAAAAACATCGAGAAAGAATAGAAAAAAAAAAAACCCTTTCTTATTAATTTTTGTCCTGTTCTTTCTTTTTTCGCTTTCCCTTAGATATTGATATTTGATATTTTACATGGTAGCCCCGGTTGCGCCGCCGTCGACAACATTATCAGATAGGTTAATCAGAAGTTGCGCTAGACAACGTTTGGTGGCTGCGTCGTCCCGAAGGACTGATGAGAAAGTTGCGTCACGAAGTGGTTCTGGAAGACATTGGCGGAGGGCCTCGCGGGCGCGGTTATTATCGCTCAGACTAGTGGATATTAGAGTTAGACCGGCAAAACCATTATTGGGTGCAAGAAGCGCGGGTGAAACGGGGGGGAAATGACAAAAAGGATGGTGGTAACGACATACCGAAGAAAACAACGAACAACATGCTTGAGTAACCGAACGGTCTGCTGCTCGACAAGTTGGGTGACCATATTACTGAGGACAGTCCCGACAGCGTAAAAACGTTCATAAGTGGCACAAATATATGCAAGGCCGATATCATCTAGTAAGATCTTTTGTACAATGAAAATGGCAACGGTTTTGCTGAGTTCCGAACCTGTCTCCATGATACGGAGACAGAGGGGGATGATTTCGGTGGTGAGGAGGAAGTTTATAACATCTGACGAATCATTTTTCACGAGGGCGCCAATCACGCCAAGGGAGGTTAGACGGAGATATTCGAAGGGGCGGGATTTCGAGGTCGTGTTGAGGAATGGATAGAGGAAGAGAGGGATATGGGCTATTTCGAATATGCCCAGTCAGCAAGCGGTTCTCACGATGTCTTTATTTGAGTGGGAAAGGGGAAGAAGAAAGATATTTGGTACCATTCAAGAAAAGCGTGCGTGTCTCATTGTGCGACGCCACACATTGTAGGAGAGCAAGGGCATTGCAGACCCTATTCGAAGCCGCAGCAGTCAACTGCGATGGATTTAATAGCGGGTAGACGGATATGATCTCCTGTAGCAGAGACGTCATGACACCTGTTCCAAACACGCCGGAAAAAAAGAAAAGCCCGAATCAGTATACTTTCAACCAAATAGAATTAGACATAACCAAACGAGCCAGACAGGCAGCAAAACAATATCAATCGCCATCCATGAATATATTTTAAAAAAATACATACCAAACGAATGCCATATTATCAACGCCAACTCAGGCACCTGTTCCCGCTTCTTGCTCAACTCCATCAGGGCCGTCTCCCGTCGAGCCGGATCCATAAGCTCTGCCACCCACACGAGCACCCTCCGGTTCTCTTCGCTGATACCGCCATCCATGTTTCCTGCAGCACCCCCGGCGGCAGCACTTGCACTATCCGCACCTGACGACGGCGTAACCTGGCTATTATTTGCACCAGCGGCAGGGTTATTGCTACTACTGCTACTGCCGTTGTTGTTGTTGCTATTATTTAGAGCTATACGACTGTAATGTTGGTGTTGGGCGACAGCGGCAGCGGCAACTGCGGCCTGCGCTTGAGCATGCTGCTGCGCAGCAAGGGATGATTGGGGATGGGGCTGCTGGGACTGCGCCTGTTGTTGCTGTTGCTGTTGCTGCTGTTGCTGATAGTGGGAGGCCTGCTGCTGCTGCTGTTGTTGCTGGATCCACGAAGCGTCCGTGGCGACGGCGGCGGCGGCGGTGTGGGGATACTGTCCGTGCTGGTGCGAGAAGACGTGCTGGGACTGAGCCTGTAGCATTGCGAAAACGGGGCAGGGGGGAAAATATCACCACCCTGGGGAGCTTGTCCCCGAGTGAGTAGCTTTTAGGAGACGCTCCTAGGGGTGACAGGGGGTGAAGGGAGGAAGGGAGATGATTGGGATGGCAAGTAGACGAAGGATATATAGGTGTCGGTTGGAGGTGTGTAAGCTAGGGAAGCAGCAAGCTGGGTGTGAAGAAGCGTATGCTGACGGTGACGGTGACGGTGACGGTGACGGTCAGGGAGGCTCACGGCGGCTAGCTCGGCGCTGACTCGGCTCGGGATGACTAATGATCCGAGTAGCGCCTGAACCTTCGCCTAGCTAGGGGTTTCAGAGCTATATGCGATTATTATACTCCGTATACTAGGAGGATTTCAATACAGCATCATTTCACACCTCGTATATATTTACTCCATCCCAGCTCCATAGTTACATACATAATCCTATTTCCCATATCCTCAAGCATCCCATATCCCATAGATCCATAAAACCGTCAAATCCATTAACTGGCGTATATCTATAATCCATTATCTCCTTAAAGGATCTCCTCCATAACAGCAGAAAAAGTACGAAACAAGAGAAGAGGGTTCCCAACATTATATACATCAAATTCGGAACAGGTCGTTTCATAAAAAATAACATTTAATAGTGATTCGTCTCCCATTGTATCATTGAGGAACAAAGAAAGCCTAAACTCCGTTCCCTTGGCAAACATAAGAAATAGATAGAAAGAGAAGGAAAAAAGACAGACGAAATAGGGGACAAAGGATCTCCACATGAGGTTATTTGGGAAGATTTATAGGGACCTCGACTTGATCAGCGGTGGGGTGGACAGGTTTCTCATCCAGGGCAAAGCTTCAGAATCGGAGAAAGGGGGAGAGTAGAAAAGAGGTGGCGAGAGAGAGCAACATCAATGCCTCGTTGACCTCGACCTCGATCTTGAAGAAGGAACCTTCGACCGCTTTGATCTGGGCGGTGGTGAGCTACCTAAAAAAAGGGAGACCAACAGCAGTGAGCACATGGATCAAGGGGAACTCTATAAAACACATAAACAGATTAAACAAGTGTGAGAGATTGGCACTTACTGCTGCTGCTGCTACTATAATCATAGTAATAGTACGAATCGGAATAACCTGAACTGGGCGATTGTTGCTTCTTCTTACTCCGCAGCCCCAGACAAATTGCCAGAGCGCCCAGAACAAGCCCTATACTCGTCCACTTCCCCAGACCAAACAGGCCGGACTTCTTCGACTTCTCAGTGTAAGACGAGTACGAGTTCGAGTACCGCGCTGGAGGCGGGCGGGATGGGCGGTACCCAAACCAGGTACGGCCAGGTCGCCCGTCGCCATCGGAGAACGAATGTGTCGTACTGGAGCCGCTCTCTCTTTTCTTCTTGCCCAGCCCCAGCAGTGCCAGAATCGCCGCGATGGCGCCTTTGGCGCACGCGGACAAGCAGATGAGAAATAAGAGGAGGACGCCGAAAATGACACCGATGACGATGCCTGCGATGGCGCCACCGCTGAGTCCCCCGCCGCCCGTCGAGGCTGCTGGCGGTGGCAGCGGGTTGCCGTCTGTGCCAACTGGAGGGAGGAAGGGGACGGTTGCGGTCGGCATGGTGGTGATGGTTGCGTCGCCCGAGCTGGTTGGTCTGGAGGGAGGGGTGGGGGAAGGCCCTACGGTGGGATCGAAGGGGGAGCTTCCTGCCTCGACGCATTGGCCTTCAGATTTGCATGCCTGAGCGGCCGTGCAGCAGATGGTGCCGCAGGCGGATTCACCAAGTTCGAGTTGGCATTGGATCTGGCTGCTGGAGGTCGGGGCGGCAATGAATCTGCTGCCCACCGATGTCACGGTGACTAGGTCTGTGCGGACGAATGTGGTTGTGAATGTTTCCCATTGACCCTCCGTAGCGCGGGGTTTTCCGACAGAGGTGAAGTCGATGCAGATGGCTTGGTTGTTGGCGTTTGTGGTGCAGATTTGCGAAGTGGTGCAGCACTCTTGGCCGTAGAAGCCGCAGGGCTTGCAATCGCGACTGGCTAGGCCGGTGTTGAAATGTAGGGGGAATGGGAATGCGTGTGTCGTTAATGAAGGTGATTGCGAGAGGATTGATAGTATAGCTAAGGCCGCTGAAGATATCCTGAGGCGGCGCATTGCTGCTGGCGGCCGGATCTGCGAGAAGTATAGGCAAGCGCAAAAAGTATGAGATGATGGTCGTCTCTCTCACCAAGCACTGTACAAGTACAGCTTGGGTTTAGAGAACCAGCAACCCAACTGGGCCTTTCTGAACAGAATTCCTGCGGCAAACTGCTATAGGAAGATCGTGAAGGTAAATAATTGGTGAGGTGGGGTGTTTTATCGATATCCAGTTTCCCTCAGTTCTCGCTGTCAATGCGCTTTGGTTGAGTCTGGACACACCAGTTCAAATAGAACGAACAATAGAAGCCAGGAAAATATAAACAAGAAAAGAAAAAGAGACAGAGAGAAAACAAGATCAAGGAACAATACAGAAGACAAAAAAATAAAAAAGTGATGGGCGATATCAGTTGTCTTGTCTTGTCTTGTCCTGTCTAAGACCCAGCCCTTTTCTTTTCGTCCGCTCCCAGCCACCATTTCTTCCTTCACATCGTCCAAGCTTAGTTACTGCGTAGTGGTAGCTAACCCAACCCAACCACCCGGATTTTTTCAAACCAACAGCCAACCCCAGTAACCTATATAATTAGTGGAGTGAGATTATCATAATAATGAAAATAAATAAAAGAGCGATAAATGACAGGGGAAATTAGATGATTGCGGACGCAACCGTTCGTTCTATGCGCCGGCGGTGGAGGTTGTGTGTTGTGTCAATTGCTGGTGCGCCATCTGGCGGGCGGGGAAAGCGAACTTGCATTGTCAACTTGATAGGACCCTGCCAGGGCCTGGAGACAGTCGGAGCTAAAAAGATGGCCACTGGGAACATGCCAGGGCAGAGACAGCAAGCAAGTGGGCTGTACGGAGTAGAGTACATAGAATATAGGAGAATGTCTCCCTCCTCCCTTCATTGACTTCAACGCTACTAACTATATTGATGAAGTGAGGTTGGTGACATTGTTGATGATTGCTCCGGCAACTGCAGTCACGTGTGCCACATTATTCTTGGAGGATATTGTGTGTAATCTATCACATAAGAACGTTATCCTCCAAGAAGTCTTGTTCCAAGGTAAGGTTGACGGTTGACATGTAACTAACCTGGCGTAAACAGCAAACTCTGAGTCTCTGACTGACTGGGCGCTGTGGAAACTTCGCGGGAGCACGGGCCGCAGAGGGAACCTACCGCACGCAGGAATCTTCTGGCTGGCCTTGTTACCTCCTCCTGCGCCCAACTATGAATGTTATATGTAATGTACATACGGAGTCCATATACAAAACAACAGGAGGAACTGGGTAGAGCCGGACATATATTTTATATGGATGATTTGACTGGGACTGGGACTATCTGATATTCAAAAGGTTGGAAATAGAAAGTAGCCAAAGGCAGTAAGTACTGAAGAATTTCCACTTGGAAGCTATAAAATATTCACATATACAATTGTCGTCAGGAGCCATGGTAATATATCCTTAGCTCTCAGCACTGATGAGAAAGAGACAATAATGAAAAGAAGGAGTAAAAGAGCAGAACACAGAGGAAATGCCATTTGCTTTAATATGATCAAATCGGACTTGGGGAAAAAAAACTGAAAATAAAAAAAAGCTAAAATAATCAGGAACAAAACTATAAACAAAACCCATCGTCATGTAAAGCAAAATATAGAAAGAAAAATATTAAACAACCATCCCGGCAATCGCGACCGCAACCCCAACCACAATATCATACAACAACCCACCACCGCCCCTCGCCGCAACACCCCCAGATCCCACCCCATCCCTAAACGCCGTACAATACCCCACCTGCAACCCATGACACGCCTCCGTGCTCAAACTAGAGCACACGGATACCGGATTCCCGGCCGTCGGCTGCACGCCTGGTACAGTTATACCGCCCTCACCCCCAATCGTCACGCCATTCACTCCGCCCAGCGACGCCGTGCAGCTGGAGTACTGCACCTGGCAGTCTGTGTAGGCGGAGACGCAGGCGTCCTGGTTTGAGAAGGTGGTGGGGATGATGGGGAAGGGGAAGAGGGCGTTGGGCACTACTGGGCGGGTGCTGGTGGGGTCTGTTGGGGGCGTGGTGGTTGCTGAGGTGCCGGGTTGGGGGAACATGAAGCCAGAGGAGGAGGTTTGGGCGGAGTCTGTTGTGGTTTGTATATGGATTGTCAGGTATAGAATGGAGGGGAGTGGAGATGCTGGGGGGGGGGGGGGGTGGTCCTGGGGGGGGGGGGGTGGTATGTATATACGCACCCGACAAACGGCCCGTACACGCCGCCCCGCTAGGACAGCAGGCGATGATATTCGCATCGTCGCGCGAGCAGACAGCCTTGGGATGACAGCATGCCTCCGGCGCACCGAGGAGGGCACAGCTGTTGAATCCAGCTGGACAAGTCCCCTGTCGCTTTGCCAGTGCTGCGGCCTCCTTCGCCCTGCGGCTATCGAGGAGGATGAGGTTTGCATTGTTATTATTATTATTATTATTATTAGTATTAGTATTAGTATTAGTATTATCGTTGAATTGCGGTTGATAGAAGGGAAAGGTGTCTGAATTGGTATTATCGGCGCCGGCTGGGGTCAGGAGCAGCAGCGGGAGGAGTGAGAGGGTTTGTAGTCGCATTGCTTCTTCGTCGTGAATCGGCGGGTAAGGACCCCGCGGGGATGGAGCGATTGATTTATATTATATCGGGTACGAATGGGATATCGATTGGGGTATAAAGTGGTGGTGATATACGCTTCGGCTTCGCATGGATGACTTTGCGTTCTGTCAGCTCGTAAACATATACGGAGTATACATGCTTCTGTTGAGGATCGCCTGGAAAGGCAATGTAATCATGGTAGGGATCGATGAGATAGGAAATAGATGGATGCGATCGATGCAATGCCTCATGATGGATGATATTATTATCCATAGTTAGACATAGTGACAAGGAGCGGGCATAGTTACCAAGTAGTTACTCAAGAGAGCGGTTGTTTGTCGCCAGATGGGCTCAGACTCCGCTGAAATGTTGTTTATTCAACCCGATCTACAGCAATCTCATTTATTATTATCAAGCAAACGTCGTTAACCTATTCCGGATCCTTCAAGGTATTTTGAGTAAATTAACCGAAAAAAAAAAAGAAAAAAGAAGGAAACATGATTCAAACCGATCGCAAATCCGCAAGAAACCACTTCGGCTTCTCCCCCACCGCTGCAACCCTAGCGATGCCACGGCAACCAGCCGCCAACAAACTCCCAAGCGCCATTAAATAAACCCACAACCACTGGGATTGAAGAACCAACCAGCAGCCAACCAATGCGACCTGTCAGATGGCCAGCCAACCAGAAAGAAAACAAAATCTCGAAGCTACCATGCAGCGCTGGCCCAATCCCACGATGCAAGAACCGAACTACCTAGTTCGTTGTGTTTTCATCTCATGAACCCATACAGATTAATCAGTGCCGGAGATAATCTGCTACGTTGTTTCGAGCCAGGATTCAGTTCGTATTACCTGTGGAAGTGGTGGTTTCTCCATTGCTATTGAGGGGATTCCAACTAATCGTTGTGCGGCGCACGTTGTGTGTACAGTACGGGATACAGAAGCAGAAAAATACCCCAACATTCAGTTCAAAATTGTGAGCATGAGCTAGCCGTAGAAAAAACCTTTCCCGAAATCTATAGAGTGATATGGATATAAGTACTCCGTATCAGAAAAGAAAGTCGAAACCTGGCCCCCGTCACAACACCCAAAGCCAACTAGGTTGGCACGATTAACCCCCTGATCGCGCGAATGCCATGCTCTGAACTATGATGTTGAACCTGATAGCCCTGGCCACGGAATCTCTTTCATGTCTGGCAGGTGTGGATTCCTTCGATATCGATTTGCGGGTATCCAGAACTGTGTTCAATCCTGCAACGTGGGCTAGGATATACTGTACTCTACAAACCTTTATGGAGGCACATAGTGGAGTGAAGCTACTAATCTGCTGTTAAACATGTGAGGATACCTTACATTTCCCAACTGCTGTCTCTTGGAAAGGAGGACGTTTCCAGTCTTTTCTTTCTTCCTTTTTTCGAGGTAGATCCAATATGTTCGCCTCGGTTCAGTTAACTAAACCCAGGAACCCGAGGTCCTAAGTTTAAGGAACCATGGTGAGTTCGAAACCAGCTCTATCGACGCCCAGTTCCTTAACATCAAGGAAATTAATAGCAGCCAGGAGCCGTTTCAACATAGAACACTCTGACTCAGGCGCGATAAGAGGTTGCAAATTGCAAGCTTGCCACGTTTTTCTCCCGTTTCTCGAAGGATGGGCTTTAGTCATTTAGCTCAAAAAATGTCGGTCAGCTCAACCTGCCTCTATATCGCTCAACATGATATGTTGACATCAGACTTCCAGTTCTAGGAATTTCGAACTGGAGCCTGACAGCAATTAACCCTTAGCATACTCAGGCTATTAACAGCCCTCAGTATGTTACTGCCTTGGCTACTAGGAGTGTCAACGAGTAGGGGGCAAGGCAAAAGAGGGCTTTCTTTTCAGGGACTGCTATCTCCAGCTAGTTACCGGGGCCCAGCTTCACAACCAAAAGCTAAGCTACATACTAGAAAAAAAATTCCGACATGTCTAAAACTAGTTTGCGTCTTGTGTTTCCCTGCCGTCTGCCGTCTGCCACGAGGCGATGCGCATTCTACGGCGCGTGCAGCAACGGAACTTGAGGCGCCTGGTTCTCCAGGCTTCAGAAGAGCAGGGCCTTCACACGCAGAAGCTTGCTATCCATTATCGGGAAAGGTGCAAAATCAATCGAAGGTAGGAAGACAACAAGCCACAATGTTTTGAAACATATGCATAGCTGCGGATATAGACCTAGCGGCTCCGAGATTATCTCATTTCACACGCAATGGCGACTAGGTGGCCGTTATTTCGGCAACCAGCAGTAAGTACAGCAGGAGAAAGAAGCTATGCTTGTTTAGCTTATCCCGGGCTGCATCGCATATATACGCGCATTACGCAGGCTCGGGTGGATCGAATCGAAGGCTTTAAGTTCTCCCAAGCGAAGACCTCCCCTGTCTTTGAGCTACACTATGATAAGAGCGTTTCCACCAGTCGATCCTGGGATTGTGAGAACGCTCCCAGTGTGGTGTCACAGCCGGGAATTGCTATGACAGGCGCCGAACAGGACAGTGTCTACGACATCAGAAAGAGATATACCAAACGAGTCAAATGATGAACGGCTGTTTGCCAATTTATTTTTAGTCCCTTCATTACCTACAAGCTCTCTTTGAAGAAAAAGCTTGAATAAGAGCTTGACACAACATTCTAATGCTCCACTTTCACCCTTCATGTACTTTTATATATCCTATCGAATGTCGCTCGCCAGTTCTCATAAGAACTTGAAAAGTATCGACATATGTACGGCAAGACATGGACGAGAGCACAGACGAGTTGATCCGACCTGAGGATTTCCCCCTTCCAAATAGGTCTCAAGAGTCGTTATGCTCGCAGGAGCTAATTAGTTGGAATATCACTCCGCCGCTTCCTGCTCTGCATGACCCTACTCAGCAGTTAGCACCGCCTGCGCCTCTGTCATCGATACCGAGTAATGTTCCTCCGTCAACGTTAGATGAAACTCAGCAGCTGGGCAAAAATGAGTGGGAATCTATACTTTTATTTTTTACTCTGGCAATAGTGGCTTTTGTCGGTGCGCTGGATGCGACTAGTCTACCTATTGCTCTTCCAGTACGTATAAAATAATACTCATACAAACTACGCTCTGGGAACAGCATGAAATTCTAATTCTCTTCTTCCTTTCAGACTATTGCGCGAGAATTTAATGCCAGCACCAGCCAGTCATTCTGGGTAGGAATATCTTTTCTCCTCACGGTCGTATTATCCCAACCAATTCACACGGGACTATCCGGTATTTTTGGGAGGAAGGAGATTCTTTACCTGTGCCTCCTATACTCCTCTATTGGCTCCGTCATAGCCGGCTTCTCTAAAAGCATATATGTCCTTATCGTTGGTCGAGCTTTGCAAGGGTTTGGCGCGGGTAGTCTAGAAACACTGTCTGAGGTCATTCTGGGAGACTTCACAACGCCAGAAGAACACTGCCGCTACTTAACTATCTTCGGCTTTATCTGGGCAGCGGGCTTCGCATCAGGTCCCTTGATCGGGGCTACCTTTGCAGAATATGTAGATTGGCGTTGGATTCCCTGGATCAACATACCACTCCTAGCAATCCCTATCATGCTTGTCCTCATATTTCGCATACTCAAACCGATCAAATGTCCCCTCCGGTCCCAGCTTGGCCAAATCGATTGGCCCGCGATAGCCCTCTTTATACCATCTCTCAGCCTTCTCACCGTGGGGGTGACCTGGACTGGCTCACAGGACCAATGGGACTCGATCGCAACTGTCGTCCTCCTAGCCCTCGGCATCCTGTTCCTAGTCATATTTATCATCCGAGAAGGCTATGCCCGCACACCTATATTCCCCTATTGGCTCCTCACTACTAGGAGCGGATTTGTCAGTCTATTCGGAGCCTTCATGCACGGCGCAGTCTTGTATTCAACTAGTTTCTTCATCCCGATTTACCTCCAAGCCACCGTCCAGCTTAATCCCGTCGCTGCAGCTACCAACATGCTACCTCTCTCCGTTCTCGTCCCCGTAATGGCATTGGCCACTACCTTCGCAAGTAGGCATTTGCATCACCATTATGACTATTTCATATGGACCGGCTGGTTCCTCACTACGCTGGGCATCGGCATCCTAATCCTCCTCGATGGCAAAACCAATACGGCCAGCCGGCTTGGTCTGCAAGTCCTTGGCGCCATGGGCTTAGGTATCCTGCTCCCTGCCCTAGGTATCCCGTTACAAGAACGAACAGATGGCGAACAACAAACCGAAGCCACGATGGGCAATTTTATTTTCGCCCGCCAGCTCGGAGCAGTCGTGGGCGTTTCGCTCGGTTCACGCGTGTTTTCGAACGCGTTCTCGGTTGATGTTGCGAGGCTTTTACCTCTGCCCGAGGCGCTTTCCTCGCTTAGTGATGGGAGTGCAGCGGTGAATTTTATCCCTTCACTAAAGAATTTGGAGCTTGTGGTTGATGAAAGGAGGGCGATTACTGGTGTGTATGAACGCGTCATAAGGACTGTGTGGATTGTTATCACCGTCCTCAGTGCGTTGGGATTGCTATCCAGCATCCTCATCCGTGAGTTGAGGGTGGGAAGGAAGGATAGTGGGAAGCAGGCACTGCAAGGGTGATGTTTTTGCTATTGCGAGGTTCTGATGAGCAGTTCCCATTTTACCTTGGGGATTAATGCTTGATAAAATCTTATCTTTAATTATCTATTAACCATAGAGAAACACCTAATTTGCAAAATGATTTGAAGCTTTCCCTCTACGGCACGTCTACGCCCAAACAAACTACATAAACTGGTTGGTTGCTTTGCGTAGAGAAGAAAGAGGCAAAAGGCAAAAAAGAATAAAATCGAATTCATTGTTAGAAGCCGAAGGAATCTAGGGACAAACGTTCCAATTAGGAAACCGGGGATGTAAGTACAGTTGACCCTTGCTAAGTAACAATGACTATACTGAGTCATGAAACATAACCGATGCCATTAACCCGGACCGGCAGTGTATGTAAGTCACGGCAGGAGATCATTCCATATAGCCTGCAGAATCCCAATGGGCCAAACCATAGGCGACAAGATCGGTCATAAGCTTCCCTCCTGCAGAGACATCATGGTAAGAACTTGAGTCTTCCATACCATTACAACTGCCAACCTCCTCACTACAATCCTTCTCTCCCCCACTGCAAACACCCACAATTGTCGGCTGCCCATCAATATACTCCCACATCGGTCCACCAGACCAGCCGGGTGAGGCAAACGTTCTAGCCTCCAATTCCTTCCCAAGACGCCCATGGAAATCAACGTCGAGAAGCCTAATATCCGCCAAAAGCATCTGCTCATCCCCCTGAAACGCATCAGCCGGGTATCCGGAACTCCTCCATGACCGATCCATGTAGAAATCCGCATCCTTCCACCACCTTGTACCCATCCAACCAGCCCGGTCCCCAAGCGCTTCACACAGCTGGCAGACGATATAGTCAATTCCGGTGACGTTGAATGTATTTTTCACCCCGCGGCATCGCGATATGTAGGAGCTTCCATATGGCTCAGAGCCATTGCCATACCCTGGTGAAAATCTCATCCATCGATCTCGACCATACCCCCACGGAAAGCAGTGGCTGGCAGTGAGTATGAGATTCCTCCCCACGAGGGAACCCGTACACCACCCTCCCGTATCGGTTTTGAAGCGCTGGAAGGAAACCCGGCCGATCGTGCTCCATGGATAGGTCGTGAGATTTACAACTTGGTCGCGATAGTAGAGTCCCGTATTGTTAGAGTTGGCTTTCGAAAGCCTATCAGCATTTTCTGCGGTCCAGGGGATTATTGGAGGAGGAAAAGCTTCGCCCAGGTGCGCCTGAATCGGACTGTATCCAGGCGTGCCCCCAGAATCTGCATCTAGGGTGCTATCTGGCTTGTGATTGCCGGTATTCCAAAACGAAGAGCTCGCAACATGGTCTAAATCAATTTGTATCAATTCTTCGGAATCTAGGTTGGGAATGCTAGAAGGTCCCCCGCAGAGCTTCCTGCTGTCTTTGAAAAGAGGCACGGCTGTGACAGAGGTAATGATAATGAAGTGAAAGACGAATCGAGTAACTGAATGAAATAAACGCATTTTATGCTCATAGAAATAGTAAGGGAACGGTCAGCCATCAGAGACTATTGATATGTGGAACCCTCATATCAAATGATTGAATCGGGAGGCTTCAAACAGAGGGTCGCCTACAGGATGTGTGCCCAACGGTCCAATTGATATATGATTCTCATGATATGTAATGAGAGCATCATCGCACTTCAGAACAACATAACAACAGAATAGGCACGGCGGCCGCAGCAGTTTGGAAGTAGTGCACCTCTGTCACGCTTGCCCGCCTTGTTCACACAGAAATATTATTATCTATGTGAGCCATCTCGCTCAGAGATGCTCAAGGTAATTCCAATGGAACGCCATAGCCAAATTGCATCTAGAGAATTGAAAGAAGCGAGAAATGAAGAAATGAAGAAGAATAGAAGTAGTATCAGCTAACACCAGAGCAGTTTCTGAGGATGTTGTGTTTCGGTAGGCGCCAGGTGATAAAGGCTATATCTCCGTGCTTGTTGACTTCAACTCAGCTTCAAACTGTGCGGCATCCAAATAAACCCACAACACTGACTTGTCGTCAGCAAGCGCTGAACCTGAAAAGACCCGGTTGATTAGTTGAGCGAGCATGCTCAAGTGTTGGCTCAACTGTTAATAAGCCTAGAACCCGCACGGCACGTCCTTAAACAGTTGGAGGAATCCAGTAAGTTAGCTGTCTGTACCGGCGGTAATTAAACCAGCTCAACGGCTGAGTTATTTTGATGTAGAACAGCTATGCGCTTTTTCATGGTATGAGTATAGAGTAGAGTATCCTATTGTCGATAACGGATTGGATTGCCTTTGCCGATGTGCGGATCATTGGTCGGGCCGAACACCAGCTGGTTTCAGCCTCCTTCATCCACTCCACCCCTGAATTTCAACGTGCTGTAACTTACTCCGTACATCGTTAAGGAGGACTGGAACTCCAGTACGATCCATTTTCTCAGCCCAGCGGCAAGCGCAACAGCTAATTCCTCCTTCTCCCTCTTCACTGGGCAAGCCGAGTCATGTTGGCGTGAAACACTAAGCCGCCCACGTTCCTCCTATTCTTCGAGTCAATGGGGATTTAAAGCGTGGTCCCTGTTTCAAGAAGCTCCGTCCGATGTGGATGAGCTACCCCATTAGTACGGAGTAAACTGTTTCCGAGTGTTTCATGTTATGTTTCTTTTGATGTGGTCCAGATACATCGATGGCCGTATCTTGTCACTGGCCCATAACATGCTGATGTGGGACCTCTTACTTTCTCCCAACGGTCAATGATGGCGCCAACTGCTCGGGATATGTATGTACGGAGTAACAGGCATCGTGGTTGGAGGGGGAAATCCCCATCCCAGGGTTTTTGACCACAATCCTCCGAGGGCTTACCCAAACGACGTCTCTGAAAACTCCCAGTGCACCAATTGGATGTTCTGACTCCCGCTATAGCCGTTTGTGAATGCCATTTCTTCGGCTTTTTTTTTACTCTTGATACGGTTTATGCCGTATCGGATCCATTCAAAAACCCGTGATGGCGGATGTTTGCTCCATCTACTGATATATAAAGCTCCTATTTCCGCTCATCTTAGAGGTTTCAATTTTTCGTTCCAATTAACTGTGTTTACTTTCTTCGTTTTTTACCACACTCTTTTCACGCCCAGGTTGGCATCTAGATCTTCACAAGCCTCATTGACTGAAGCTTTAAGTTCCTCTCTCACACCATCTTTCGATTCTTACTTGTTTTACGTCAATCGTTTTACATCTGCCCCAAGCACCCTCTTGACATCATGTCAATCTTCAAACCTGCTGCCCTTCTTTGGGCTCTTGCGTCCCTCGCTCTTGTTGACGCCCATGGAACGGTTACAGGAATTCTTGCTGATGGCAACTAGTATGTGATTTCGGATTTATCCTCTTCAAAGAAAAATATTAACCCTCTCTAGCATTGGAGGCTACCTAATTGGCAAGTACCCTTACATACCAAACCCACCGGCCGTTGCCGGCTGGTCCACTACCGCAACCGACAATGGATTCGTGGATGGAAGTTCATATACTAGCCCTAATATCATTTGCCACCGTGACGCCCAGCCAGGAGCTGCAACTGCGGAAGTATCTGCGGGGAGCACTATTGAATTGCAATGGACGGAGTGGCCAGAAAGCCACCATGGCCCCGTTCTTGACTACTTGGCCAACTGCAACGGGGACTGCTCAAAGGTTGACAAAACCTCCCTGGAATTCTTTAAAATCCAAGAAGCTGGCCTAGTCGACGGAAGCAAAACTCCGGGTAAATGGGCATCCGACGATCTAATTGCGAACAACAACACTTGGAGACTCACTATTCCCTCGACCATCGCCCCGGGAAATTACGTTCTCCGACATGAGATCATTGCCCTTCATTCTGCACACGAAGATAATGGCGCCCAAAATTACCCCCAATGTTTCAATCTGAAAATCACAGGTAGTGGAACCGCCAACCCGCAGGGAAAACGTGCAACCACCCTCTACAAATCGACCGACCCTGGTATCAAAATTAATATCTACAATCCGTTGAACGGTTATGAAATCCCTGGTCCAGCCCTGTTCAATGGCGGAGAGTCTGGAAATGATCAAGGCCCAGGTCCAAGCGAGCCTTCAGCCCCAGTTCCCAGTCCGTCAGCTTCCCCTACTGCCACGGCAGATGTCACGCCAATCACGCCAATAGTCACACTATCTCCCGATGCGACTCCTAGCGTCCCGAGTAGTGCGCCTGCCATACCCACAGTCACCGGACGGTGTTCAGCGCGGTACAATAAACGATTGCAAAGACCTCATCCTCGCGAATTTAACCGTCGTCGCTGACAGGTGTTTGCCGGAATCTAAATGTGTTTCGACGATTTCCATTCTTTTTACTAGCTGGAGTTTTGCCTTTCTGCATATAGCTAGAACTATTTTCATTATGCTACCCTGTCTGATTCAGGTCCGATTCAGCCCTCAACTTCGTCTTATATCATAGTGGAGTGTGGAACCAGACCCTAATCCCCGTGTAATCTGTAAGTAGATGTAGTAGTTATCGAAACGGGTGCTAGAGTAATAACGGGAATACGACAACGAGAATTATTGTTCGAATATATCTCTTCAAATCAGCTCCATTGAGTAATAGAATCAATCAATTCCCCGTTGCCGTTATTTCTTTGCATTCGATTCAGTCTTTCTAGTGGGGAGTTTCGGCCAGCTACATTACTAGCCACGACGCCCATGAGTCAGCATCCCTACTCTGTTGTTTGGAAGCTTCCTTCCCCCCCGCTAGAGCATCAATGTTTTTGTTTGTGAACCCTGCCCATAGCTGCTAGGAAGTACAATTCACCAGCTTGCATAGTCAAGCTTGGGAAATTATAACGCGGTTTGAACGTTCTCATTTCCCCTCATCTCTCCCAAACCACATGAAAACGGAACACAAAGCCTTCCTTTCGCCATGTTCAAGAAGAAACCCACTGTAAGTTGTTCAAGCCTACCCCTCATGGTCATCCATTATCACGCTCTGGCCCGCACCACCGAACGTCTTCCTTGCTAACATAGAAAAACTACAGTTCAAACCACTCTCCCCTCTCCGCTCTTCTGACCGGCGGAAGATAGCAGACCAGATTATCCAACAATTCAAAATCGAAATACCCACCACCCCCGCTGCCCCTTCGAAAGAGGAACACCCTGAGGTCCCGCAAAATGATGCCGCAACCAGCCTTACGGCGCTCCGCAAATCCCTTCTCCCAGAGAATACCATGTCCGCGCGGTTTGTGACTACCGCAGGACCCGATCTGACTCCTGTCCAGGGCACGGTCTATGTCGGTTCACATGCTGACGGTGGCGACGAGCGAATTCTCTGGGTACGCCCGGAGCAAGGTGCAGGCACTGATGGACGTCTATATCCTACGGTCTATACACTATGGCACCACCCGCACCTCGTCCCTTTATTGCATACCCCAAGCCTAGTGATGGATAAGCTATACGGGGGCGCAGATCTGATGACTCCAGGCTTAGCCAATGGGCCACCGTTTCCTGAGCGGGCAGTCAAGGGGGAAATAGTCGCGGTCGCGAGCTTGGCGAAGCCTAGTGTGCCGACGTTCGTGGGTGTGTGCGAAATCGACGTGGCTGGGCTAGGCCAGGTGCAGGGGGCGAAGGGACATGCTGTTAAAGGGGTGACGTGGGAAGGGGATGAGCTGTGGAGTTGGGGTACTCTGGGAAGACCCGGTCAGCCGTCGCCGGAGCATATTGATGGTTGGCTGGATGATGGCACCAGAGTGGAAAAGGATTTCGAAGAATTGAGGTTGGAAGATGAGAAAGGTGATGTTGATGTCGACGGTGAGGAAGAAGGCGGTGTATCGCTGGGTGGGGATAAAGCGGAGGAAAACAACGCGATCCCAGAGGAACAATTGCAGGAACCGACTACCAAAGGTATGGTTTTTTTTTTTTTTTTTTTTTTTTTTTTTTTCCCTCAGCTTTGTTGCACGGGTATACGGATATGGAAATCTAACTGCTATGCAGAAATTGAGGCGGTATTTCACAACGCATTCCTCTATTGCCTTTACCAACATAAAATTGACAACCCATCCACACCCCACCATGGAATTGCATTACCTATCCAAGCGTCTTTCTTGATATCTAACCTGATAACGCCATTCCTACCAATATTCTCACCTCATCAAGCTCAATTTTATAATATTAAAAAGACATCGTGGAAGAATGTGAAGAAATTCATCAAGCATCTTGACAAGGAAAAGCTGGTTAAAGCTAAAGACCGCAGCGGCGGCGAGACGATAATTTTGGATGTGGATTTTGATGACACCCGAGTTGTCAATTTCGTTCCATATAAACTTCCCAAAAAGAATAGCTCAGAAAGTGCTGCCAAATCTATTTCGTTGGGAGGAAATGACAAAGATTCTTCAACGGGGCAGTCATTCACCGTGAAAACACTATATCGACCAAGCGGAAAACTTACCCCCGTCTTATTCCCGCCGTTGTCGAACAGCGATGTGAATAACTACTACACGACCGCTGACGTTTCAAAACGACTCAACGATTATCTCACAGCCCAAGACCCTCCCATAATCTCCCCCACGAACCCACGCATTATATCCCTCAACCCATTCATCAGCAACACCATCCTCTCCTCCTCCGCCGATGATCTCGCAATTCTCAAACGCGGCACCGTCCAACGTGATGCCATCCTCCGGCGCCTCCTCGAAGACCCTTCGCTCTGCGCCCCTTATCACGCCATGCTGAAGCCCGGCCAGACGCTCCACGACGTGAAGCCAAAGGCAGGCCCTGGCCCCAAAGTCACAGTGACCATCGAGCGGCGCACGGGCTCAAAGGTGGTTACCAAGATTACCGGCTTAGAACCTTTCGGTGCCACGCCGCAGCTGTTGGCGGATGAGCTGCAGAAGAAGTGCTCGAGTAGCACGAGCGTTTCGCAGGCCGTGGGAGCGGCGAAGGGGGTGATGAGTGTGTTGGTTCAGGGCGATCATCGGAAACTTGTGGAAGCTGCGCTGGCTAATCGGGGGGTGAAGTCTCAGTGGATAGAGATTGTTGATAAGTCTCAAAAGAAGGGAGGCAGAGGAAACTGAAGATTCTGGGTGGTTTTGAGCGGATATATATATAGCGTATTTATGCAGATTATATATATCTTTGAATGACCGGGGATTGGAGCATTCTAGCCCTGTTTCATGATAAATTCAATGTTTCGTAGAGGGGTTTAAGGAGATGTACTGTACCCTTGATTTTGGGGTTTTGTTACAGTAAACAGGAGGCTCATTATATTTGCTACAGGCTTTGTACTCCGTACATGTACAGTAACTTACATATAACGGCCCTGAACCAACCTTAGCCGCTTGAGTTGATGCGCTGTGGCTGCCCTAACGGCCATGTTCACGTGAG